AAAATATGAAGAAACACACATTCACCTTGCATTTATTTTTTCATATGACTTGCTAGTTGTCCTGCTTAATTTCGTTTCACCTGTCCTGCTTAATTTCGTTTCACCTGCATACACTTCCACATGAAATTTGAAATGTGCATTGAGGTTCTTTTGCTTCAATGTCGTCTGGTATATTTCTGCATGAGCTATAGTTCTAGTTATTCTAACTATCCCGGTATTGGAACATGCTATTGATTCAAATGTCCACCACATATTATAATTTGTTCTGCTCATGAAAGTTTGACCATTTGTGCTTTATCTTGCAGATAGAACAATGAGGGAAGGATTATATGACAGGATTAGTAGAATGGTCGGAAGAACCGATTAGACTCTAAAAGTGGGAATTGAACACGCTCATAATCATGATCCTTATCATCCTGTCTCCCTTAGCTAGCTTAAACTAGACTTTTGCATTTTCGTGGTGTCTGCTTAGTTGCTTATATCTCTTTAATCACCTTTTCTATTTCTATTCGTGTATCTTCTATTTTTGCGCGTCGTTGCATAGTTCTATCCCAGTAGGAAACATCAAATTTTCAAAGTTGGGGATGTTTTGATGTATTTTCAGATAATTTTTCTTATGAAAATATGAGACTTTTATAGTATACATGCTTGATGAACGCAAAGCTCACTTTTTTCCTTTATGAAGGAAAAAAGGTTGCTTTTTAATGGATATATTAATCATTGATTGAGATTAGAATATAACAGTTAATTTGATTTTAAAAATGTTCTCATGTTATCACTTGACAAGTCTCTACACAACAGAGTTGTTAAGTGGGACGAGCTGCTCGTCAGCTCTCTCTCCACCCACAAATGAGCCGAGCTGGTTCCAAATCATGAAAATCTAGTATTTGTATAACGTAAAAACACAAAAATATAAAAAAATAAAAAGCGGGTCACGGTGGCTTATTTTCCATATCTAAAATAAGTGCTCAATTTTGACAAATCGTCTTAAGTAAATAATCATTAAAGTCTCCATCAAATGAGTACGTATTAATACATTAAAAAAAAAAAAAGGAAAAGAAAGAAAGAAAAGAAAAACGCAATAATGCTTATAAATTACGTGTGATGTGTGGTAAACAAATATTACTCGTGTTAACAACTTTACATATGATGACAAAACCTCATCAAGAAAGAATGATCAAGTAATGGCTAAAAATGCAAAAAATAACCATCACAAGCTTGCATGAAATGGAACTCAAGCGGGTTGCACCATTCCCAAGAAGTGGCCGGGTCGGACCACTTGGTGACGAAGGTGGAGGTGATGAAATTCCTGAAGAACGAGTTCTGTTCCCGGGTGTGGCTTGTGGATTAAAAATGGATGGTGTGGGAGCCGGAGGTTCAGTCGAGTTCCTGTTTACCGGCAGAGTATTTGATCCATTTTTGGAATCATAGCCTGAGATCAACAATATGCATTTCAACTCAAAAGTGCATTACGAAGGAAATAAATCCCTGGGAAAAACTCGAGCGCACACACAATAAAGCGACAAAAAGAGACGACTCACAGTCAGAATCTGTCCAACCCAAAACGTTTTCCTCGCGATCAAAAACTATGCGGTAGCCAGTCATAAAATTTTCTGGGCAGAAAAGAACAAATCAATTATCAGTTATAAGTACAACTCGCATGTAAAACAGCATAACAGATAGTAATAAACCATTGATGTTCATATTTAGTTCTAAATCAAATTCCACCAGAACATAAGAGGTTAAATTTCCAACAGTGTGCTATATCTGCACTATTTCCATTAAAAAAACAGAGAATGGAAGGGCAGGAAGGAACCCGATAAATAAAATAATTAATAGGTTATTCGCTTGCCTGTCATCTATTTCATTTTTATACTTGAACCTTTCATCAGAATGGAAGTGACATATTAATCGAAATTCAAGCAGGGTATACTATCGAAATATAACGACAAATGAATTCATAATGACGAAACTCACGTCCAATGATGTCAATATCTTCACTTTTGACAATAGCCAAACAATAGGCATATCCACCCTGCCGGTCATAGGAAGATGTTAGCGCATCCCAAGATAAAACTTCCGTACATTGATCCACTAGTAGAACCTTACCTGGCGAGGAATTACAATTACTGGTGCATTGACATAAAATTGGTCTCCGCCTTTCATAGTCAAGTTCAAATTAGGATACTCAAAGCTATTTTGGTTCGCACTGCAACATGGGAAATACTTAGTCCATCAGATTCATAATTATAGAGTGTGGTCGAAATAAGGTTTGTATCCAAAATTAACGTACCCTAATGCATAGCAATAGTCAAAAATGATCCGAGTTTCTGGTTGATAACGTGGCTCGGATACTTGAGAATTAAACTGCAAGAAAAGAACATTTCTGACTTGGCACGGTTAAACAATACAATATCCAGGAAAAGATCATAAATCTTATAAACTTACCCCCTCAGCAATAACTGAGTAAGCCGGGTCATTCAAGTATGTAAATGAGGTACCAGAGTCAAAAATTGCTGAAAACTCGACATTTGTGGCATTCTCTCCCACAATTATTTGTGTCACAGAGATATTATAAGTCGGGCTGGTAGAAACTCAGAAAATGATTTAAAAAGAAGGTAAGAAACAAGAACGGAAAGAAAATGAAAAGCATAATTCAGTCCATATCATGCAAGACCGAAAGCTTACTGTGATTGTTTGAGATTGAATGGTGTTGTTTTTTGGGCTGGAGTCCCTTTGTCACCGAAAACCATTCTTCCAACACCATCAGGCCCGAAACACATGGAGAAAGAATTTGCTGCAAGCCCTTTGCTGGCTAAAGTGCTAGGGACGGATACACTATCCATACCAAGCCCAAACAGACCATTAGGAGCCGCGGCATCCAAAAAATCACCAGTTTGAACAATTCCACAGCTGAAATGGCAAAAAGTAATTACATTATATGGCAATTATAAAATGCATAACCAGAAAATCCTTTTCGAGTAGCTTTGTGGGTTATCCTCTTAAAATAATGATAAGAAATATGCAAAGAAGTTCTTGCAACTGGTATTTTCTCACAAACTAATATTTTATCCAGAGACTCCCAACGTGCTCTTTGTTTCAAAAACATACTAAAATTCATAGGAATGTTTACTATGGATTCACTACTATCTACTTCCAAAAGCAATGTTACACTATACAAAGAAGTTAGAAAAATCGAGAAAATTTTAAGATGCAGCTTTACTCTGGAAGATACGAAAATCAATATTAACCAATCAACTCAATCTTCTTGC